GGGGGGTCGTTGGTTGCAAGTACCGAACCGCAGGGAAAAAAAATTTTGGCAGGTATTTTGCTAATCCTTTCCTTGGATGGTGAATGGGTAAATATAGTTTGATATACCAATGGAATGGCAGAGATATAAGTGGAAATATTTTATATGCACAGCCGCATAAAATGCTAATAATGTGTTTTGGCTTTTAGAAAAGCAATTCCAGAGAGGTGTTAAGATCACATGGTAACTGACTCCCAGTCCTAGATGGATGGATTCTCTCACTCGCACTCTGAATTATCCACAAACAATATCCTAAGATCACTCCTAGTTCCGGTAGAAATAGTAATATGGAAAATGGGTTGGCACAGCCATTTTACATGTCCAGTTCTAGCCTATGGTTTCAGTTTAAGTTCTTTATTCCTAAGCTTAGGGAGATTGTTTCTTTCATCTGTGTGTTGGGATAGGAATTTGTCCGTAGTACATTAAGTGCCTTTCAGTACCTGTCATTCCTGTTTTGTCAATCTATAATCAAGTGTAGCTGCATTGTAGTCTGATTTTCTTGTTGATGTGTGCTTTCATTTCAGGAGAGGGGCACAGAGAATGGTTATTTGGACTTGATGATATAAGGAAGCTGCTGAAATCATCATTGTAAATACCGCCAATCATACTTTGGCTTCTTTTACTCACTAATTTAAATCTCTTTGTCTACTGATTTTTGATTATTTGATGCTGATTAGGTTGAAGGTGAAATGGATAAGCTTGCGATGGAGGAAGCTGGCTTCCTAAATCGTGTAAGTGTTCTTGGGTAGCACCACAAAAGGCTTCTGCCAGAGAATTACCACCACGGGAAAAGGTTTGGTTCGAGACTTGGAAATTTTGGAGCCTGTGATGATGATTTATACAAATTTATTAATTTCCTTTATGCAAAGAAGTATATATAGCATCATTAAAAGACCTTTTATTAATTGGCAAATATGAAAGAACTTTGATATTTTTCCTGAATGTAAATGCATCCCCACATTTAACTCAAATTCTTAAGTATCCAATAAATTATTGCTTTGAATTAAGATATCACATTGAATTGGATTTAGCTTCTCTTTCACAAAGCCATCGATTCCATTCTATCTGTAGCCCATTTAAGTTTTCTAAATTTGCTTTGAATTAACATATATTTTGTATTATGTGTTCATTGCCAAGAAATATTGCATAATGTAAGTGGTTGATAAAAATAGTTCTTCCATTCTATATAAGGTTTGATTGCATCTTCCTTATGCAAGAGTAACAAATTATTCATTGATATTTTTATTTTTTATTTTGACTTGCAATTAGTGTCTTGTATTTAATTTAAAGTCATTTTTTGCTGTATGTTGTGGTTATTTTTTTCTTTTTTTTAATATTTGTTTACAATTTCTTTTCTGCTTGTTGTTTGGGAACATAGGACACGGGATATCAGTATATATGGAACTGCGAAGAGCACTTGGATAAGGTAAACTTAATACATATGCATGCTTGAGTGATAGAGCCGATATGCAAATTTGTATTGGTCTTCCTCTTTTCATTGCTTGATATTATTTCTTAAAAGCGTTAATAAATCTTGTAGGTTTCTCGCATTATCCTGGCAACTGATGGTGATGTACCCGGCCAAGCCTTGGCTGAAGAGCTAGCACGCTGTCTTGGAAAAGAGAGGTTTCAGTTATAAATTAATTGCTTTCATTTACTTCAGAAACTTATACATTCTTCTGGAAACTTATATATGCAAATCATCTATTCCACAAATGCTTTCAATTATTAAATTTATTTACAATATTACTTTGATTTAGTGCCGTAGCATAGTGATTGATAGCAGAGTATATCACTTTCACGCACAACAGCCTACTTATCAATAGTCCAAAATTTTTAGCTTTTGGTTTAATTGGCACTGAATTATCAAATTGATGGTGCAAAATCTTGACCTGGTGAAACCTTAATGTAGGCAATATCTTTAGTAATAGTAGTATAAAATGGTATCTTTACTACAATATTACGCCCTGTCTGATTATCATCATCATGTTTTAGGTTTAGAGACCAAATTCTGTTTATATTGCCCCCCAAAAGTAGTATCCATATACTTAGAATTATCTCTTCATGTAGTTTGTTTTTCGGTTTTCAGATGCTGGCATGTCCAATGGCCGAAGAAGGATGAGTTGTGTTGCTTCAATGATGCAAATGAGGTTTTTTATTCTCGTTTCCTCCTTTGCTTTCCTGTTTTCATTTGGAACAAGTAATAATGTGGTTTTACTGTAGTTGGTTGTGTCCACTATTCTACGCCTTTGCAGTCTGGCTTTTGTTCAACACTCTCTCATGATTTATTTATTCATGAATCTTACTGTCCTTATTGTTTGGAGGGATTGGACTGTAACTTTTTCATTCTGTTTTCTGTGAAAATCCAGAAAAAAGTTCCGTTTCTAAAGGACAGTCTGCATATGTTCTCACTGCTTCGTTTGGTTGGTGGCCATAGGTTCTCAAGTTTTTGGGTGGAGATGCTCTGAAGGAAGTAATTGAAAACGCGGAGTTGTATCAGCTACAAGTTCCAGACCGAGCAATGCAGTGTACATAAAGCTCTTATGAAACACATTAATTGCAGACTTTCTTTTCTTTCTTTCATTTTTTTTTTTTTTTTTTTCAAATAGCTGTTTATGAACTTTTTCTTGAATCAATAGAAGATAACTGATTATATTGTTCGTATTTTCGTTTCAAATTTCTGGTAAAGATTTGCAGCAAATTGCCGGTATTGTCTTCAAACAAACAGTTTGCATAACTCTTTTCCTTGAATATTTTTCATATCAAAAGATTTTCTCCTGAAATTTTTTTTGTCGTGAATTCGATATTTTGTCTTGTGGATTCAAAAGATATCGTTTATATATCCAAACCTGGCTTACATCAAGCCCGGAATTGGCTGGTTATTGACCGATCTGGCCATCAGCGACAGTCAAAGAAATGACCATTGTTGACCGAAAACGACGGCCAAAACTTGGCTATCGTTGACCGAAAACGAAGGCCATATCTTTGGCCGTATATAGACCTTTGCGGCCGTCGACGGCCACATTTGGCCATGGATCTGGCCTTTTTCGGTCAGATCCATGGTGGATTTGGCCGGAAAAGACCAGATTGACTCGTTACGACATAGATCTAATCACTCTATGTCGTAACGCAATTTTCCGATCAGATTCCAGCGGTGGTGGCCGAAATTTGGCACTGCGGGTGGTGGGGGTGTTTTTGTCATTTTAAATATTAGGGTGTTTAATTAAATTAACAAACCTTGGGATTTTTTTAAAATTTTTAAATTTTACCTGGTAGTACTCCTTTATCCAACTACCAAAAATTATTGTAAAATCCTATTCAAAATAATGAACCAAATACACCTGTTATTATCACAATAATATAATATAATAAATATTATTATATAACCTAACTTCTATACCATTACTAAGTCATTTGATGCTTTAACCCTATCATTTTCTTTGTATCAAAATTTTTTATCTTTGCAATCTTAATTCTTTCTTTTGTAGATGGAAGTAGGCATCCTGCTTAATTCCTGGAAATAAATAAAAGACTTATTTGTGTGAAAAGATTTTGTGAAACAAAGACTTTCCCAATCCACCTAAAATGAGACTTTATTGTGTGAAAGGACTTTAACGTTTGTGAAAATGAGATTATCTTTCATTAATTACTTGAACGTTTCTTGCAAATTAACAAGGTTCAAATTAATGGAGAAAGAGATTTTCTTTTCATATGTAAAATAATTTACAAATTAAACAATTTGAGAAGATATTTTCTTTTCATTTAATTAGTAGCCAACTTCCTCGAAGATGATGAAAGATTTTGCCAATTTATCTATTTATTGTTTCGAAATTTTCTCTCCTTAAAAGACTCACACGACTTTAAGTCAACATGAGTGCACCTTCCGAGAAATGGGATATCACTGTCCTGGTTCATTGAATTTAACTCAATTTTTTTATTTAGGGTAAACGACGTATTCCCATCCAAGGTTTGATGAAATCTCCAGTTGTACCACAAGTTCCATTTACTCTATAATCCCACCTTTAAAGTAACGAAAAATGATTAGATATAACGGTTCAAGAGTAAATTGGCCATTTCATAGAAGAGGCACACACATTAGCAGATCATTACCCCTAACAAAGATCCGACGCACATTAGCAACATCATTGTCGACGTTTTTTGCCCTTTCTTGGTGATTCTTCTGTCCAAAATCATCCTTGTCACCACCATTCGAACCCTCATCCTCCCTTTTGCAAAACCTTACCCTTGAAAACCTCTCATCGTCAGCCGATCGTCAGCCGCCACATGTGACTAGTTTTTGTCAGTCTCCACCGAAGAATGACCACTAAACAGTTGATGAGACATAAGGGTTTTGTAGATTAGGAGACGCTGATTGCAGTGGTGACGTCGAATTAAATTTTCATCGCCGGAATCCAGTGAAGAACGACGAAAACTTAAGCGTGATGGACCGGCAATTGGGGGGAGATAGACGATGGGAACCAGAGGGGTTTTGGAGGACGGACGACAGGGAAGGAGATGGAGGTGACCAAGGGTTTCGTTGCCATCGGAAATAGCCCGGATCTGGTGAAATCCAAGACAGTGCGTAGTCACTGAGGGTGTAATTGAAGTAATTTCAAAATAAGATGGTTAATTTTATAATTTTAGTAATTTAAGGGTTATAATATAATTTATTAATTTAGGGTTAAGAGCATTATATAATTGCACCCTTACTCCCCTAAAAAATGTTAACAGTGTTATTTTAAGGGTAGAAATCTGGAATAAATAAAACTTGTGGTACCACTAAGATTTCGTTAAACCTTGGGTGGGAGTAGGTTGTTTACTCTTTTATTTATTTTAATAATAGGTTCATTGAATTACGCAAGCGTATCACTGTATTGGTTATATAATTAAAAAATCATGTGCACTGTTTACATATGCAAAGTTCAAAACTCTCTCTTCTTTAAGCAGTCTTCCGTCAAGTGTGAAGTGTAATAATGGCTTCATCATCTTCTTCTTCTTCCAGAGTTTCTCAAAAATATCATGTTTTTCTTAGTTTTAGAGGTGAGGATACACGTGACAACTTTACAAGCCATCTCCATGCAGCTCTGTGTTCAAAGAAAATCAACACTTTCATTGATGATGAGCTTCATAGAGGAGATGAAATTTCAGAAGCACTTTTGAATGCGATCAAAGAATCAATGATCGCGGTTATTATCTTCTCGAAAGGTTATGCCACATCTAGGTGGTGCCTTGAAGAACTTGCAAAGATCATTGAATGCAAGAAAGCGAGAGATCTGATGGTAGTGCCAGTTTTCTATCACGTGGATTCATCAGATGTAAGGAATCAAACTGGAACGTTTGGAGAAGCATTTGCGAACCATGAAGAAAAGCAGACTTCAGAGAAGGTGATGAGATGGAGAAATGCTTTGAAAGAAGCAGCTAATCTATCTGGATTTGATTCCAGTAACATTAGGTAATTGTACGTTAATTGAATTTCTCGATTACAATTACTTTTTGCAGATATTTAAGTTTGTTCAATGGATGGAGACTTCTCTTCTTAATTTGGGAAAAGAAATGTATTTATTATATATAAAACTGTCAAAAAATATCCTAGTATTTAGATATTTAATATGCATCATTTATCGATAAAATCTAGTAAAATAATTAAACGTAAACAATTAAATTCTAAAACTATAATATTTTGGAAAATTAAAGTACATGAGTTTTAAGATATTGTAGATTATTTAATATATATATATATATAGAGGAAGGGTACAATTCATAGGGGCTCAAAATGTTCTAAATAATAAAATGAAATCTGTTTATAATTTTTTTGTAAGTGGTGTTAAACTAGTATAGAGTATGTGGCAATTGAGTTGAACTGGACATTCTTATGAGCTAAACAAAAACAGAAAACTATGAATTTTACTCTTTCTTATGCTTCTTTCACTGGGCCTGATGGAAAATTATTAGATTAACATTAGGTAACTGTTATGGAATGTATCCATTATGTTGTTTTCTGTTAATTCAAATGCTTTGTTTGCATAGATATTGTAATTAAAAACCGTTGTTTCTATTTTGATTTAATTAAACTTACTAAAGTGTTTTATATTTTGCTAGGCGTGAAGCTGTGTTAATAGGGGAAATTGTCAAAAATATATTGGAAGAACTGAATAAAATGTCCCCGAGTGAAAACAAGGACCTCATTGGGATAGAATCAAAAATAGAGAAACTTGAATCGCTATTATGTCTTGAATTAAAAGATGTTTGCAGGAGTGTCGGGATTTGGGGAATGGGTGGTATAGGCAAGACAGCTCTTGCTTGTGCATTATTCACCAAAATCTCAAGTCAATTTGAGAGTGTTCATTTTCAAAATGTTGGGGAAAAGTCGGAAAAATGTTTGGGTGAAGAACTTCTTTCTGCAATATTAGAAGATCGATGGGCTGTTTTAGAGTCCACCTTCACCAAAAGCAGGTTTCACAATAAGAAAGTTCTCATTGTTTTTGATGACGTGACCTGTTCAGAGCAAATAGAAAAGTTAATTAGAGATCTTGAATGTTTGGGTCCTGGAAGTCGAGTCATTATTACAGGAAGAGATAAACAAGTGCTTAAAACTTGTGGAGTAAATCATGGTGACATATATAAAGTTGAGGGATTACCATCTAATGAATCTCTTATACTTTTTAGTCGCCATGCATTTAAACTGGATCATCCCCCTATAGATTACTTGGAGCTATCAATAAGAGTAATAAAATTTGCTCAAGGTGTTCCATTAGCTCTTAAAGTTTTGGGTTCTTCACTATTTGAGAAGGAAAAATCATTATGGGAAAGTACATTGATTAACCTAGAAAAAAATCCAAATCCAAAGATCCAAGAAGTGCTGGAAATAAGTTATAATGGACTTGATGATCAAGAGAAAAATATATTTCTAGATATAATATGCTTTCTTATTGGAGCTGAAAGAAATATTGCAACAGAATTCCTTGATGGTGATGATTTTGATTCCGACATGGGAGTATCCAATCTCATTGACAAGTCTCTTATAACTCTAGATGATATTGATAGCATAGAAGTGCATGATTTGTTACAAAAAATGGGGAAGAAAATTGTCAAGCAAGAATCTAAAGATCCAAGTAAACGCAGCAGATTATGGCATCATGATGATATTTATAAAGTTTTAAGAAGCAACACGGTGAGATATTAACTGATTAATTTTTTTATATTATTATAAATTGGATAACATCATCCATTTATTATTATTGATTTTTAATTATCATGCATAATGTAGGTACACATTCTATACTTGCTAATTTATCAGTTCCTACATAATTTTAAAACTACGTGTTGTAATAGTAGGCTTTCACATTTATTTAAGATACTAATTTATTGTCATTTGATTGTTAGGGAAGTGAAACAATTGAAAGCATCTCCTTAGATATTTCTAAAATAAAAGAGTTAAACTTGAAGTGCAATGTTTTCTTGAAGATGCAAAACCTCAGATTCTTGGACTTTTATTGCCGAAGCAAGGTAACTCGACGTGGAATCTGGAACGGTTACAATTGTCGGTGGTATTTTCATTGCTTTTGCTTTGAATTAAGAGAAGATCAGGATCGTGATAACTGTGTATATTGCTCAATGGATGAAAAGGATGTGAATAAGGTGCATGCTTTGCACGGCCTGGAGTTCAGTTCATGCAACATAAGGTTATTTAGCTGGTTCGGATATCCTTTGGATACATTACCATCAAATTTTGAGGTGGAAAATCTTTCTCGACTTATCATGCCGTGTAGCAAAATTAAACAACTCTGGAATGGTCTTCAGGTATAAATATTTTATCTTCCAATTCTTTTTTTTTCTAGAAAACCATAAAGCTAATCATATAATTTAGTTACTTGCTCATCTCCTTAATTTATTGTTTTGCAGCATTTAGAGAAGTTGAAGTATATCAACCTCATCCACTGCAAGTACCTAATTAGAATTCCAGATCTCTCATCAGCCCCAAATCTTGAGAGTTTGATTCTAGAAGGTTGTACAAGTTTGATTGAGGTTCATTCATCAATTCAATATCTGAATAAGCTGGTTATCTTGAATCTTAAAGGTTGCAAAAGCCTTAACAGTCTTCCCGCCAACATTCAATCAAAATTTCTTGAATATCTCATTCTCTCTGGTTGCTCAAATCTCAAGAAGGCTCCAAAGATCACATGTAACGTGGAGCAATTATATTTTGATGGAACATCTATAACAGAGTTACCCTTCATTGAATATCCATCAAAACTAGATAGGTTGGATCTTAAAGACTGTTCAAGGCTTGAAAGTCTCCAGCAGTTAGGAAAATTGAAGAAACTTCATAATTTATCCTTGAGCGGATATAGGGGTCAAGATCTAATGGTGGATTCAGTATGGTCTCTTTTATCAAATTTGTCTCTCTATATATTAGATTTGTCTGATTGTCAAATCATGACGTTACCCAGCATTCTTGGTGAGTTTAAATCTCTATATTCTTTAAATCTAAGCAGAAACACTTTTGAATCGATACCATCAAGCTTCAAAAAACTTAAATTGAAGTATCTAGACATAAGTTATTGTGAGAGGCTTAAATGCTTACCATTAGGCGCTGAAACTGTTGAAGCATACAATTGTATGTCATTGGAGTTTTGTGATTTGGATTTATTCTCGTCGGTGAAGAAGGCCAACTATGGTAACTGTTTAAAACTGTATCAGAATATGCTGAAAGCCAATTGGGGAGAGGTATGACTTCCATTCTCTAGATTCACTTTATATGATCGATGCTTTTTATTTTATAATTTAACATATGCTGTTAAATATTCTTTTTGTACAGATTGCAGGTAGGATATTATTTCATGGTCCTTTACTTTGTCCTGGAAATGAAATTCCAGAGTGGTTTAGCTTCCAAAGTGTGGGATCTTCTATAACTCTCGAGGTGCTACCAGTACCTCATGATATAGTCTTCACTAGTTTGAAAGTGTGCCTTGTTGTAACACCTCAAGACCATGACGAAGCTCCCCCATGTTTGTTTATTTGTTCTAAGGTGATTGGCATAGATGAAAATGGTCAGAGGCAGGAGATCGAAGAACTGACAAAGGCATTAGCAAAATGGGGATACTTTCTAAAAGTTGAATGCAACAGTCCTATGTCAGATCATGTAATGGTGTGGACTGCTGTCCCAAGTATCCAGGTCAAAAAAATTAGCCGGTATCTTACTTTTGAATTCAGTGGAATATATCACAATGTGGTGAAGTGTGGGCTTCGTACATGTATCGCCTCTCTTGGAAAACAATACAAAGGAGATTTTAGCTCAAACATGGAGGAGGAACCACAAGCCAAAAGACTGAAATTTTAATTCCTTTTCATTCAGGTAAAGCTTTTGTTGTTTCTGAATTTGTAAAATTAGATTTTACGTGTAATGAATTCATCAATCTTTAATTTCATTCATAGAATCATTAAATTATTAATTAATATGGTTAAAGGCAGAGGACTTCTCTGCATAATTAAACACAGTATAAAAACAGGGGAACCAAGAGAATTATCAGAATACATGATTATTATTAATTTTTTATAATCTCTGTAATCAGGAGAATTTAACAACAGCCTCAATAGATTTAACAAACTTTAATTCTAACTAATAACTGAGTCTAAGTAAGTCAGCTCTTTTTAAAGTAGAGCTGAACCTGAACCTTCTTGAGCTGAGAATAAAAAGACTTTGCCAATGTATGGTTGAGTAGTTATCAATTTCTTTTACCATCAAAAGAAGCCGCATTAATAGAGGAAATTGTCAAAAATATTTTGAAAAGACTTAATCATATATTCCCAGGCAATAAGGACTTGGTTGGAATCAACCAACATTAAGTTCAAAAATTACCACATTAATTTCCTCGTGCTAGTTTTTTGTTGTAGATTGTAAGTTAAATTATTATTGACCCATAGATTTATAAGTAATAACTAGAACACTAAATTACAAATTAACCCTTTTTTTTTATCTTTTTTTTTCACTTAGCCATTTGACCCCTCATTTTTTTAATTAATTTAGTACAATGAAAATTTTCGAACATGGGGGTGCTTGAGGATATTTTACGGTGGTTTAAATGTTATTTATTTTTTAGCGGCCATGGGTCCCCCATAGCATGTGGTTGCAAAGCGGCCAATTTGAGCTAACAAACAAACTACAGAGACAATAACAACACAAAATTATCATAACAATTCATATCTCCTGAAAAGCTTCCTCATTTTCATATGATAGAGAAGAGTTAAAAGGTTGAAGCTTCAAACTCAGTGGAACAAAATAAATATGCCCTTTGGTATAATTCACAGGTGTTACTTTTCATTCCCAACATTACCCAAAGGAAGATTAAACCCTGTTTGGTCTCGCCAAGCCCACGTCCCAGGTAATTCCTGTTCCCCAAAATTATGCATTATTTGCTCTCATTACTTCATAAATTTGATGGGTTCTTCTTGTTTTATAAGATAATAAGGTGGGGCTCACAGAAAAAAGTGAGTGGCATTGATGGTAATTTGAAACTTGAGAAAGTAAAGCAGAAATTGGAGCTTGTTGGGATAATTGCAACGATTCTTGTATTCCTGGACTGTATAATCGCTAGTTTTGTCCACAGATGTGTGCTTCTTGTAGCTTCATTTTTATCTTTATATGTTGTTGCTGTTGTTTTAATTTTGGTTTGAATGTTCGGGGGATGGCTTTAGTGTAAAGGAGGTCAGTCAATGGATAGAAGCTTGTCTCTTCATATAATCCAAGATGGGTAAGCAGAAAGCTGCCTTTAAAAAAAAAAAAAATTATGATAATAATTAATTAATTAATTTGTTATCAAAAAGACATGTTAAAAGGTCTCAACCTTACATTTCAAGTTTTCCTTCTTGTAAGTTCATAATTCGTATGCTAAACCACTTCATAAATCCAAATTCGGTTCCTTCTTGTAATATTGTAATGTGCGTTTGTCCGACCTAAATTTGGTTTATGCTATTTCTTGGTCAATTGATAACTTCGGTTGTATGCCTTTGCAGACAGCAACAACAATACAAAAGTTTTTTCATTGAAACAAATGACAGAGAAGAGCTTAGGATTAGAACCACTGGGTGACAAGGCATGTGTGCTGACTTCTCTTCTTATATTTCTTATGAGCTTCTTTCTTTCTTTGTTGAATTATACCATATTCGAGGAATTGCCAAGTTATGTCTTGCCAGAGTCTAAATCCTATTAATTGAGGCTCAATATTTGTTGAGCTTGATAATGATTCAGTATTTATATTCTGTCTTTGTTTCAGCTAATTGCATATTTTGCTGAGCGGATGATATCTGAGGGAACTCTCCGGAGAAATTCTGTTATGCAGTTATCTGGTGTTCAGGTTCCTTTTCAACTGCGGCTACTTAGTTCTTATCACTAATCTATGATTTAATTCTTACCATTTATATTATAAAAAGTGATTTTGAGGTTGAACAATTTTTGGAGTGATACCATGGATGACTGAAAATAGATTATTGTCAGGGAAACGTTTATTGGAGTTCTTGTTGAAGTGGAATGCATTGTTTCTTCCTTTTTGGTTCCTTTTCAACTGCGGCTACTTAGTTCTTATCACTAATCTATGATTTAATTCTTACCATTTATATTATAAAAAGTGATTTTGAGGTTTTACAATTTTTGGAGTGATACCATGGATGACTGAAAATAGATTATTGTCAGGGAAACATTTATTGGAGTTCTTGTTGAAGTGGAATGCATTGAAACAACCCTAATCTAACATCAGGTACTATGAATCCCTTTCGCAAGATTGGTTCTTAGTATAATTAATTCAGCCATAAAATTTGACGAGCACAAGATAATGTATCTTGCTATCATTTATTTGATTGAGTAAGCTTGTGTCCTATTATAGTTAATTCTCATTTATAGCTAGTCGGCCATGTGGTTGTGGCAGAAGCCACGGTGGAGGAAATGATTGCAACTAGTGGGCAAGATAGATTCTTGTTGAAGTAGCTTTTTAAACTCCTTTGAAAGTATCATTCCGAAATGAAAATGGATTCACGTTTGGGATCACTTGTTCCAATCTAGAACTGTTAGGGTATGTCACAATTTGATCAACTAGGTTTGTAAGAGTTAATTTACCTTGCTCCTCACTGCATTCAGTCTCCTTTCTATTCCCATTGGCATGTGGATGTTAGCAGTTGTTGACGTAATGCACTGTTATTTCTTTGTCCCATGGTTTTGATTAATCTGGTGAGTTTTTGGTGTAATATAGTACCTCTAGCAATTCATATTTATAGATGCAAGTCTTGGTAGCTTGTTTGACTTGTCGATTGTGGAGTATCTTAACATTTTTATTCTCAACTATGCACATGGCGAGCGCTATGAACCTCAGATAAGATATCTACATGTATGATGATTCTTTCCCTCATCTTGAGTTAGCTTTCTAACCACTAATAAAAATTTTGTAAACAGGCTGTCATGGCTTTCCCTTGTAGACAAAATGGGGTGCTCGTTGGTTGCAAGTACCAAACCTGCCGGGAGAAAAAAATTTGGCAGGTATTTGTGCTAATCCTGTCCTTGGATTGTTGAATGTGTAAGTATAGTTTGATATACCAATGGAATGGCAGAGATATAAGTGGAAATATTTGATATGGCACAGCCACGTAAAATGCTATAATTAATGTGTTTTGGCTTTTAAAAAAGCAATTCCAGAGAGGTGATTAAGATCACATGGTAACTGACTCCCAAGTCCTAGATTGATGGATTCTCTCACTGCACTCTGAATTATCCACAAACAATATCCTAAGATCACTCCTAGTTCCGGTAAGAATAGTAATATGGAAATTATGGGTTGGCACAGCCCATTTTACATGTCCAGTTCTAGCCTATGGTTTCAGTTTAAGTTCTTTATTCCTATGCTTATGGATATTGTTTCTTTCATTTGTTGTGTTGTGATAGTGAATTTTTCCGTAGTACATTAAAGTGCCATTTCAGTACCTATCATTCCTGTTTTGTCAATATAAAATCAAGTGTAGCTGCATTGTAGTCTGATTTTCTTGTGGGATTGTTGCTTTCGTTTCAGGAGAGGGGCACAGAGAAATGGTTATTTGGATTTGATGATATAAAGGAAGCTGCTGAAATCAATTGTAAATACCGCCAAATCATGCTTCGGCTTCTTTTACTCAGTAATTTAAATCTCTTTCTCTACTGATGTTTATTATTTGATGCTGATCATAGGTTGAAGATGAAATGGATAAGCTTGCGATGGAGGAAGCTGGCTTCCTAAATTGTGCAAGTGTTCCTTGTGGAGCACCACAAAAGGCTTCTGCCAGAGAATTACCACCACAGGAAAAGGTTTGGTTCGAGACTTGGAAATTTTGGAGCCTGTGATGATGATTTCTACAAATGTATTAATTTTCCAAGTTTTTGGGTCGAGATGCTCTGAAGGAAGTAATTGAAAACGCGAAATTGTATCAGCTACAAGTTCCAAACCTAGCAATGCAGTGAACATAAAGTTCATATGAAAGTATGAAACACATTAATTACAGGGTTTCTTTTCTTTCATTTTTTTTAATTGAATTTTTTTTTTTTTCAAATAGCTTGTTTATGAACTTTTTCTTGAATCAATAGAAGATAACTAATGATGCCTTTATTTTTCATATTTTTGTTTCAATTTTCTGGTAAAGATTTGCAGCAATTGCCAGTCTTGTCATCAAACAAACAGATGGCAAACTTTTTTTCCTCGACTTTCACATATAGAAAGATTTCTTCGCCATGAAGTTACTTGAAGGTTTTCCCATATTTTCTTTACATAATAGTCATCGGTTGTCCCTTGATTATCATGGATCAATAATCGAAATGACAAAACAAAAAAGAAAGTTTGTATCAATCATCGTAGTGAGCACAACAAAGTAACAATGTTTCAGTTTCGATAAAGAAAACACAAATTCTTCATCTCAGTCTCAGATGTAACAAATCAAACACAAAAATGGTTGGTAAACAAAATAAAAATGTAATAAATGGAGTGAACTAACTGTTTCTTCAACAAGTGTTTTTTGATATTTTTATTTAGAGCAATGCTAGTTTTACAAAGAGACATACAAAGGGGTCATATAAAGACAATCCTCACTCTTGATTTTCATGATTTCTCTCTCTCTCTTTCTCTTTTTCCGTTTTTTCTTTGTTGTTTTCTTCTGGATGATGTCACTTTATAACCCTCTTTGTATGGGCTTTGTAAGGATAGTATTTTTCTTTTATTTAAGGTTAATTTGGTTAAATAATCAAAGCAAAAAATATATATAAACGAAGCTTGAAGATTATTTCCCCTTTTAATAAAAAGAAGAAAAATATGTGGACTTATATTTGGGCCAACCGAGATCTGATTACCCAAACCCAAAACTATGCGACCTCTCGCTTTCTCCTCTCTTTAACAGACAAAACGAGACAAAAGGGGAATTCAAAGCTAGTAAACCAATGTTTTGAAAACTGGATCAGGCCTTGACCGGATCAAGGGGCCAGTTCATGGTTTGATTGGTCTAACCGGTTAAACTGGCAGTTCAACCAGTGGTCTAAAAAGTTTGAAATCTTACAAAAACACCCCTAAAAACTTTTTCAGTCCCTATAGGCTTCAAATATAGCAAATACACCTCTATGATTTTTTGGGTTTTAACTTTTCGAACCAAATTTCAGCTGATTCCGACCACCAAAATTCAATCCGACACCACCACCTGAACCATCGTCCTCCAGTAACCCTGGAACTTGGTAGCACCTTGTTCGCCAGCTATGACTCACTAACACCACTACGATTCGGTTGATTTTTTCGAAAAAATTTCGACTAATTTCGACATCAAAAATTCAATCCAAACTACCATCAGCCTCTACTCTACAAAATCGATCTAACCCCAGCACTTGGTAGCCCCCCACCAGCCATGACTTGCGTATTAGGTTGATTTTTCTGGCCAAATTCTGACATCCAAAATTCAATCTGACACCACTCCCTGAACCACCAACCTCCCCTCTACAAAAGCCCTCTAACTCCAACACTTGGTAGCCCCTCGTTCGTCGAATGTAAGATTAGGGATTTGTGTGAAAAGTAAAATTGGAAATTCAGACCGAAGAGGACACCGATCGACAGTCGGACCAGTCTGGTTTTCAAAACATTGCTGTAAACCTTGCAAAAATCCAGGGTCTCTTTAGTTTACTCTTTTATTTTTACACTTTTATCTATAAGTTTAGAGTATATTTGCTTACAGTAAAGTGAAACTTTTTAATAAAATATCTATAATGCCCTTGCTATTTTATTACATATTAATAGAAATTAATAAAATATATAAGAAATAAAAGTATACGATCACTTCCAACAAATGCTAATTTTTCACAAAAGTAATGATTGTTATCTAAATATAATATGGACCATTTTTAGTATATTATAAAACTTGCTTAATTTCGCATTTATGAAACAATTTAAATATCATCTAAGTATTGCTCATCACAATTATAAATACAAAAGATATTAAAACTAAAACTCTAGTGAACAATATAAACAATTTTAAAATCCAAACTTTTTATTTTTTTATATTTGATTCATTCCTAACAATATGTGAATAAAACAAGAAGGGTGTTATAAACTTTTTTATTGAAAAATCTAACCTGACTGGACTAAACTTTTTGTATCTCACAATAGTGTAATATACTTCAAACCTTAAGGATAAAAGTACAAATAACCCCTTTTATTTATTCATTTTCTTAGTGTTTATATTTCCTCCTGTACCATCCCTTGGAAATAAAGTCATTCACTCTGTTTAGAAAATGATGGGTCCATTTGTTTTATTATTTTAAACCCTACTCTTTATCCTATTCCCAAAATACATGTTTGTTTAATTATTTGAGAAATACTATTCTATTTTTTTAATTACTTTTAGACCCCTTAAGTTATTAATTTAATTAAACACCCCTAGAAAAAAAGTTTAAAAATTAACAAAAACAACCCCACCCACCCATATTGCTAGATTCCAGCAATCACCTATCACAACGGTGTATAAACGACCAGAACTGGCCGGTAATTTACCGATTTAGCATTTTTTGATCAGATCCACAATGGATTTGATCGGAAAAGGCCAAATCTGGCCATCAACGACGACCAAAGAAATGGACGTCGTTGACGGTCAACGACGGCCAAATCTTGGCCATCATTGACTGACAACGATGACCATATTTTTGGCCGGTTCTGAGTTCTGACAGCCAAATCTGGCCTTTTACGGCTATTGACGGCCAAATCTGGCCGTAGATCTGGCCTTTTCCTACTAGATCCATGGTGGATCTGGTCGAAAAAGATCATATCGATGCACGACCGGCCAGATCCGATCGATATGCGTCGTAACGCCATTTTCCAGCTAGATTCCAATAGTGATGGCCGGAATTTGGCACTTTGGGTGGGTGGGAGTGTTTTTGTCATTTTACAAAATTTGTATATATTGGGGTGTTTAGTTAAATTAGCAAACTTAAGGGTTTTTTGTTACTTTTTAAATTTTACCTCATAATACTCACCCTATTCAACTATCCAATATTATTCCCAAAATCTTATCCAAAATAACAAAACAAACGCACCCATTAATTTTTCCTAAAAAATTATCAAAACAGAAAACCTCTTATAAATATCAAACAGTACAAAATTATTAAAAAAAAAAAATTCTTATAATTCAAAAATGCCATTGAAATATCAAATATTCTTTTATAAAATTATGAAAAAAAAAAACCTCTAAAAAGAGTATTTTAATATTTTTTGAACAAAATAGATGAATTTAAATATTAAGTTGTCTTAGAAAATGAAATAAACCCCATTATATGAGGATTGATGAAAGATACGTTGGTTTAACATATCTTAATACATAAGAGTGCGTTTGGTTTAGGGAATGTTGTATTATTGAAAATGTTATATTAATGGAAAGATAGATTACCTTGAGGGTGTGTTTGTTGGGGGTAATAAGGGATTACTGAGATAATGTCATCTTATATTACTTGATTACCACGTTTGGTTGTCAAGTAATATAAGATTTTGATATTCTTCTAAAACCAATAGTAGTTACGATTGGTAATATAGGCGGTAATCTGATTACCTTCATTTTCTTAAGTATTTTAAGATTACTTGGTAATCTTATTTTTGTTACAATTTTATCCCTTATTAATAAAATTTTAAGACAATAATGCCCTTGTTTTAAAAACAATTTACAAAAATACTAATTGACTATTTTATCCTTATATACAAAGTTTTTAGTACATAAATACCCTTGAAATTTAAAAAAATTACCTAAGGGTGATGGCCGGATCTGGCCACCACCACCAGTCACCAGCGACAGAATGGCTTATGACCGATCGATTCCGGCCGATTGTGTGCCGCTAAAGTCATTTCTGGCAAATCCATTACCGAAAATAGCCATATGTGGCCTTTCACGGCCAGATTTATGGTCATTTCATGGCCAAAGATGTGGCCGTGAAAGGCTAGATATTTGACCATGAAACGACCGTCATTTCACGGCCAGATCTCCACTATCACCACCAGAAGTGGCTTGGGGTGGATGGGGGTGTTTTTGTTAAGTTTTAAACTTTTTTGTTGCTGGAGTGTTTTAGCTAAATTTGAAATGTAGCAGGTTAAAAGAAATTATTCAAAAAATAATAATATATTAATATTTAAAAAGGAGGGCAATTTAGTAATTTATATAACATACCCATCAATTTATTTCAACCAACTAAACACATTTCCCTAAACATTCCGAATAATCTTCATGGTAATCTATCTTTCCATTAATACAACATTCTCTAAACCAAACACATCTTGAAAATTACTAGGAATGTTTAGGAAAATGTGTTTGTTTAGATTTAGACCTTTCAAAATGGGTCTATATCCGCGGGCACCTATTTTGAAAACGGGTATGGATAGGCATTTTAGGACTTATTTTCATGTGACCCGACCCAACTCGACCCATTTTTAAAACAGTTGGGCCAGGTATACCTAGACTTGGGCAAGGATTGATCCCAACCAGGTTTGAGTCTGGGCCTGATTAGGACTGGTCCCATTTGGGACTAGTCACTCATGGGCCTGGGACCAGTCCTAAGCCTATGAGAAATTTCATGGTCTAGACTGGTCCTGGGCCCATAGGACTGGAAAATTTTGTTCCACCCCCCAACTTTTTTAATATTTAAGAGGTTGAATAAAATTATGTAGAGGGGTTTATGTAATTCTTAGGAGCTTGGAACAATTTTTTGCACTCCTGGAGATTAGTAAATTTTGTAAAATATCAATTTAACCCTTAATATTTTTGTCAATTTCAAAATTATAGGGGGTTTTTAGATACTTTTTAAAGGACTTTTTGAAAAAATGCAAAAGGTTTTGAGCCCGAGCCTAGGACCAATCCCAGGCCCAGACCTTGGAGGAGGGCCCGATCTAGGGACTGGTCCCTCCTCCATGGGCCTAGTTCGGGTTTGGGACCAGGCCTCGTAGGATCGGTCCTTGTGAGGATCGATTTTTTGAGCCCCTTTTTTAGGATCGGCCCAAATGCCCAGGTCTAGATATACCTACAAGTACTCATATTTTGAAACAAAAAAAAATATCCCACTTCAAAAAAAGGCAAAGCCAGCCAGCAACAAT